TACTTCTACTCCTCCTAACTCATCAAGCAAATCCTATATTATAGGGATAAGGAACTTATCATTTATTATCAACTGATTAACACATAATCTCCAACTTCCATATTTTTTTCCAACCAAAACAATAGGAGAGGCATAGGACTGGTAGAGTGTTGTATGACTCCTTGATCAATCATTTCTTGAACCAGCTTTTCAATGATATCCTTCTTAACACTGGGATATATATAGGGCCTCTTGTTTACTGGATTTGTAGCCTCAATGAGAGAAATCCTATGATCAATGGAAACTATGTGGGGAGGTAGGGTAGTACGAATTTCAAATATGCTAGCATATTGCTCCAGTAATACAGTTAAAACTGGAGAAATTTCAGTACCTTGAGCAGCTTGTATGTTATGACAACTATGATTCACCTCTACATTATCTACTGTCATCATGAAGAATTGAGTGTCTTCTCCCCCCTTCTTGACTATGGAACTTACCTTGGCTGACTTAAGTTGACTGCTAGATCTCTCAATACATGCTTCCTTCCTTGATAGACAAACTCAATGGTTCTGTTACTGAAATCAAACAGAATTCTGCCCAAGGTGCTTAGCCACTGCACCCCTAAAACAATATCAATATTTCCTAGAGGTAAAAGTAGGAAGTCTGAGGAGAAGGTGGTTCCTTGTAAGAGCCACTGCATACTCCTACACAGAGAAGCAGTTTGAACCTTTCTTCCATCGACTACACTAATGCATTGTTCTACTATAAGATTAGCTTTGCATCCTAACCTCTTGGCTATATCTTGATCAATTAGATTATGTGTACTCCCAATGTCAATTAAGACTTGAAGAGGTCTTTTCTCATGGTAGCTAGTCACCCTAATAGTCTGGTAACTAGTTACCCCACTGAAGGCTTGTAATGATATAGTCATGAATTCATCTGCTCCTTCCACAATATTTTGTGTTTCTTCCTCCATAACCACTTGCTGTATGGCTTCTTCTTCAACCACTTCTACCATAAAAATTTGACATTTTGCTCTACAATTATGCCCAGCTATATATTTTTTATCACAGAAGAAACATAATCCTTGGGACCTCTTTTCATCCATTTCTGTTGCAGTTAACCTTCTGCCAGTCGTGTGATTATTAGTTTTATGGTCCCTAGTTTACTGGTTTTGTGGTTATTTGGTTCAAAAGTCTTATTGAATGTGGAGTTTGGGAAGTTAGGTTTTTTTGAATCTTGGGGTTTGAATACAAAAGGAGTGGGTAATATTGGACTCTGGAATTTAGAAGTAGGCTTATGGCCCCAAGATTGGGTATGAGCTTCAAAGACACCTTCTTATAGTCTAGCAAACTTATATGTTTGCATTAGCATTCTAGGCGATTGTATTCTAACAGATTTGTTTAGTTCTGGTTTCAATCCAGCTAAAAATAGCTGATAGCATTTTCATATGAAAGATGGACTCATTTAACAACCTGTTAGATTCAGTCTGATAATCCTTCACACTACCAACTTGTCTCAAATTTTTGATAGCTTTCATTGGATCCTCAAACCCATCCCCAAAACTATCATGTAAAGCCAGAACATATTCAGTCCAAGTTGGGAATGTATCAGAATTTCTAGACCTCATAAACAACCTATGCCATACAATAGCATCACCATCAAAATGAATGCACGCGACCTTAACCCTTTCCTCAAATGCGATTTCCTCCATGGAAAAAACATGATGCACCTTATACAACCAGTCTTTCAAATCATGTCCAGAAAAACGAGGAAATTCAAGTCTAGAATATCGAGTAAAGGAGCTATTACAGTTGGAGCATAACTAGTTTTAGCTTCCTTAGATCGACCCATTCGAACGGGACCTGCAGATTCCCTATCAAGTGAAGATGACATTCCCTTATCATGGTTTGATAACTCCAATTGCCTCTTTGATTCGAGCAGCTCTTTATCTGTTTGAGCATTCCTGACGTTCATATTAGTCAATCCCTCAATCAATTTCTGCAATTGATCCTGAATTTCAGTGAATTTTCCTTCCATGCTATCAACAGGTTTATCTTGATTCTTATCTCTGCCCATGTTAATGCCTAAGGAACTACTGCTCTGATACGAAATGATGCAGTTGAAGACTGAATCTAGGAGAATCTAGGAGCTAAGCTCAAAGATAGAAGAAGCTAAGCCAAGGCAGTGCCGAGAAAATAGTTTAGAGAATTTAGAAGAGAGAAGAGAATGATTATTATTATTCTAGAAAAAAAAAATGAATCCCAATACATGGATTACAATGTATATAAAGGAATGGATTAGATGCAAGTGAATCACTAAAATGAAATCTCTTCCACTAATTCTCACTGACTATGTAACTAACACTGACTTTGATAAACTAATTCTGCCACATCAACTTTACTCGTAACTAACTTCTGCCATGTCAACTGCCAACTCAACTCTCCTCTATGTCTAGCAACACCGAAGTATGGAAATAGTGTCTAATTTCTTGGAGATCTATCTCTAGGAAATTCACTTTATCCTTCGTTCCAATAATATGTTGTTTCAATCGTGACAAATTGGATATAAGACTCAAAGGATAGTTGAAATTTTACAACCTTTTACAATAAAATTATTCTCTTTATATTTGTTTCTGTGATTATAGCTGTTTATTTTTCATACATTGCAATTCCTTGTGAACAAATGACTTTCATATAAATTGTTGAACTGTTCTAACATATTAATAATGAGTCGGCCACCATTGCAAGGAGAAGTGTTATTATGTTAGGTAGCAAATTCACGGTTGCAATTAAATTATTTTCTGTTATTCTTTATAGATCCAAAGACAACTAATATTTTTAGGATTTTAATATGCAGATGTAAAATATTCGTGTATATCTAAAAGTCAATTTGCCGGCATCTTATTTATAACAAATACCTTACTGCTGATCATTGAATTATCTTGACCAAGTATATCAACTCTTTACTCGATTAATATGAATTGATTATTTTTATTCTTTCAAGAAAAAAAATAGGAAAAAAAACATCAAGACTTGGACGATTATGTAAGAATTATTTTAATTTTAACGTTTAGTTAATTGGGAATTGGGCACAACAAGAAGGAGCTCCGCTTTTTTCCCTAGAGCATACTAAAGCAGAGTAGACTGATCGGACGACATGCGCATCAGAGAAATAGAATCGATTTGGGATTTTTTCCTATCTATACCATATATGAAACCTTATTATTAAAAATATGCATAATTCAATTATTACCCGCCATGTTTATATTTTTCCTACAAAATTTATACCATTCATTAAATACCCAATATTAAGAGCTGATTCCTTCCAAATTAGGCGCCTACAAATCTGGGGTAAATATTTGAATAGCTTATTCCTTCCAAATTAGGCGCCTAAAAATTTGGGACTAAATATTTTTTCATATTCACATCAGATTTGTTTCCTCCTTTTTCTGCAGGCTTCTCTTTCCTCATTTTTCACGTCCTCGCCCTGCAACTTTTAATCCACGCCCAATAAGTCAACTCATGTCTCCAACATCATCCATTACCGAGATTCTCACCAGCAATTTGTTGCGCCTGAAGATACATTGGAATCTGATTTCGGGGAGTCTCCCATGAAGAAGAAAAAGAGAATCAAAGTTTCCATTCCTCTAGCTCCAGTCAACAAATTTTCTACAAAAAATGTACAAATAAACTACAAATCAGTTTAAGTATGTATAAAGCAATATTGTTTTAATGGTATCTACAAATTACTACATTTATACTACAATTAAACTGCAATCTATGTTGAAAAAAAATGTTGACTACAATATTTTTTCCTAATCTACAAATTTTCTACAAAAACTCTACAAATAAACTACAAATCAGTTTACGTATGTATAAAGCAGTATTGTTTTGAAGGGTATCTACAAAATTACTACATTTATACTACAATTACACTACAATCTATGTTGGAAAAAAATGTTGACTACAAAATTTTCTCTTTATCTACAAAATTTCTACAAATAAACTATAAATCAGTTTAAGTATTGTATAAAGTTGTATTATTTTTAAGGGTATCTATAAAATTACTACAATTAAACTATAATCTATGTTGAAAAAATATGTTGACTACAAAATTTTCTCTTCATCTACAAAATTTCAAAAAAAAAAACTACAAATAAACCAACCTTTCTTATTTCATCTTCATCCTTGTCAAAGGCCCATGACTACTCCTTAATGAAATCTTCAGGGTTGTATATGTACCAAATTGGTGTTGGCCACAGCCACCGCCAGTATTTGGCGTTATTATTGTATGGGATTTACAATGGGTTTCATATTGAATCTCTTTGGCTAAAAATCTGATTATAAAAAATGGGTCTCATCTCTGTATTTTTTGAGAAGAAGAAGGAATGGAGAAGAGAAAGAAATGGGAGGGGGAAAACAGTGCTGGTCTGATCTTGGGAATTAAGGAGAGAGAGAAACGTGGGATATATGGACACCTTTAATTAAGGAGTACAAAACTGCCAATTAATTATACCTCTAAATTAATTATGGTATATAAATAGTAATTTGGTATACTGAAATGTAATTAACTCAAACCTTAAACATTGAGGGTAATAAAGTTTCATATGTAGTATAGGAAGGTAAAAATCCCAATGGATTTCACATCGATAGAAAGAAAGTCCTTGTCTTTCTCTGTATCGATAGTTGCATCAGCCTCATTGCCCGGTATGACTTGATAATTAAGACCTCATAAATATTTATAAACAAACACAGTATTGTCGAATCAAATAAGTATATGCAAAAAAATTTAGAATTAAAATTTTTGAGTATACTGCAAAAACTTAATCAGCAGCATAACAGTAAAATAGTAAACAAAAAATATATATTTTCTTAAACAGCATGAACAAAAGTACATGAAATTCCTATTTTATGACTCAACATTTTTTGCTTATGAGATGCAAACAGGACCTAAATGAAGAACTCTTCAAAATTTTAGAATTAAAAAAAAAAAATGACGTACAAATAATCAAACTAATTCAGCTTTGGTAACAAAATTCTTTTATCAAACAGAAGATGAATGTGATTCTGGCACCACTAGGTTACAAGGTTCATTAAAATGATTAGCAGCTTATGTACAAGAAATTTTTATTTCTTGCCAATATGTGGAGAATACAGATTCTTCATTCATCACTTAATGTGCTAATTCACAAATGAATTGGTCTAAACAATTAAATAGAACAAATTATCTACCTCACCCCTTGTGTTATTGTACTATTGAACAAAGATCCTCAAAAACCATTCTCATATCAGGTCTATCATCAGCTGGCAAAATACACTTCAGAGCAACCTGAAGCATGCTATCAAGAATCGCATGCACGCCTTCGTTGCTCTCTTTTCCCAATAAAAACGGATCAAAACACTCGATTGAACGGTTTTTGATGGCCAATAATCTCACCCATTCTGTTAAATCCAGCACTTCTGAATTTCCAGGAACAATTTCTGCAGAACTTCTTCCAGTCAAAAGTTCCAACAAGATAACCCCGAATGCATAAACATCACTTTTCAATGATGGACAAGGTTTACTTGTACTTGCAAATTCAGGAGGCCGATAACCAAGTGCTCCGGCATTTAGTACTTGTTCTGCTGTTCCAGCTGATGTCATTAACCGATGAAGACTATAATCAGTAAGGAGGGCATTCACGTTAGGCGTTTCTATTAGTACATTTGTGGATTTCAGGTTGCCATGAGGTATGGCACTTTCATGGTGAAGGTAGTTTAGACAACGAGCTACATCTATAGAGACCTTGAGCCGCTCCTCAAGAGACAACGGTTGTAGCTTATAGGAGTCTGCATCTGCATACATCGAAAAATGTGTTAATTGTGTGCGACCTGTGTATGCAAAACAGAAGCCTCTAACTTCTTTAGTAAAACTGGATCATGATTTTAGCCTCACACAAAAATCAGAAAAGCTAAACAAATTGATGTAGGTGGTATACTCTATAGAGAGAAAAGGGGAGACCTACCTTTACCAAGAAGATAGAGAGCTAAACATGGTGCATTGATGTAATTCGATATGAGAAGCCTCTCGTGCTCTTTGGGACCCCAGTAGTAACCCTGAAGAGAAACTAAATTTGGATGCCTAATACTCCCCAGTTTCTTAGCTTCTCTAGCAAATTCCTTTTTGCCTTTCACTATCCCTTCCTTAAGCCATTTGACAGCAAATTCTTGGCCTGAACCAAGTGTAGCTTTATACAATGTTCCGTGACAACTTCTGCCTACAGCTTCTGCAGGAGCACACGATAATTGTTCCGCAGTGAACTTCAAGGAGTTATCTAATAGATGCAAATCTCCAGCCAGTTTATCAGGGGAAGAAACCCTGAGAGAGTTGGGGCTTTTGGATTGATCTTGAACCTTAGAAGGTGATAGATTGGCAGATGACAAAACAGATATAGAAGAAGATATCAGCTCATTTTGAACTGTTGACACTGGCATCCCTTGATCTCTTGTGTCATGTCCGCTTTCTATATCGGATAAAGACAAACCTGTGGAAATGAAAAGGGGTTAGTATCAGTTGATCTGACCAAATGCATGTCTTATTAGGGGAAGAATAGTGTCATACCTTTTTTACCCTTAGTTACTTTGGTATCGTCCTTTCCACCATCTCGTAGATGGGCCTTGCGGTAGATTACTAATGTCAACAAAGCTATGACAGATACACTACAGACCAGACCAGCAATAAGGGCAGCCCTGATGGTGGATTTCATGCGAGGACCATGACTTCTCAAGTTCAAAGTGGAATCTCCCTCTGACGGAGCTTCGACCTGCTTTGGCAGTACAAGCAAGGGATTCCCTGGATGGAATGAGGAGATGGGAAACCTCCATAAATTTTTCGGAACCGTTCCAGAAAGATTGTTATTAGATACATTGAAATATTCCAATTTGTCAGAGAGGTCATTAGGAAGGCCACCTTCAAAGTCATTATTAGAGATATCCAGATATACCATGTCCGGGAACTTGTCCAGTCCCGGAGGCAAAAGACCAGATAATTCATTATGTGAAAGATCTAGAGAAATCAAGCTTAAGTTCTCTGAGTTGAATGCCACTATAGGTAAACTGCCAGTAAATTTGTTGAAAGACACGTTAATATCAGTCAATCTGCTAGAGTTGAAAAGGCTGGGAAGGAGAGTACCACCAAGTTGGTTAATGCTAAGATCAATCATTTTCAGTTCGGGGTATGTACCTAAAATAGCTGGTAATACACCTTCAAGTGAGTTGTTTGAAATCTTTAACGAAGTAAGCCTCAAGAACTGGGAAGTTTGGTTGGGAAAGGTTCCCGTCAAACTGTTTGAGCTTAACACAATAACTTCAGCGTAATTTCCCCAACCTTGGATCCGGGAAACTTTTCCAGTTAGCAGATTGTTGCTCATGTCTATGATGGCACAACGCCCAACCTTTACAGGCAAGGGGCCTGACAGCTGGTTGTAGGATAAATTTAGAAGCTTGAGATTCACGGCACTTATACCTGCGATGGGACCTGTCAAAATAGCAAACGGTTTCATGAAATAGCTTGGAAAAGGAAGTAGCTGGGTCTTGGCCACAACAACATACCCAGTATAGTCCCACAAGTGGGGTCTGGGGAGGGTAATACGTACGCAGACCTTAGACCTTACCCCAACCTGTGAAGGTAGAGAGGCTATTTCCAGAGACTCTCGGCTCAAGTCTAGACCAGTGGTAAAAAAAAACTTAAATTTAAAAAATTGTAAAAATAAAGACATACTTCATTGACCTAGAAGTTGTTCTAGAGCTTCCCTAAAATAAGTAAGGCTTACAATGCACTCGAACCCCGTCTTTGAAAGAAAATGATCCATAATACCCTATTGGTGATTTTGCCATGAAGAAAAGAATAAGAAGAATATCTTTATGCAGCTTGTTTGTAATGTTTTTGAGAAAGGTAATAGTTATGCAGCTTGTTTATAATGCAGCAAGCATTTCCCAAAAAGTCTGGAACAAACCACTAATTAAAATGCAAGTTTATATTAATAGTTGCTTTAGACCTTGAGTATAAGTAAAAATATCCCTAAGCTAGGGAAGGATTAGGAACGATGTGTATGACAATTATATGTAAGCTAAAAAAGAAAGAGAGAATCGTAGAGCATTCCTCTACAAACAATAATTGCATTTGATTGCAAGCAAATCTAGCATGCTTTCCCGCTGATAGGAATCAAAGAATTTTGTTCATTTGTCATCAAACTGACAACCTCAGATCATAAGACACAGTATAAATAGATTAGATGAAGTATGCTTCGTTTGTAGTAGTAATTAACCATAGATTACTTACATTGACTTCAAACAAGCAAATTAACTAAAGAAGAAAGGCTCAACACACCTGCAAGCCGATTCTGGCTCAGGTCCAACTCTGATAAGATCATTGAGCTTTCCTCCAGAAGAGCTTCAGGTAGTGATCCAGACAACTGATTGTTCCCGAGCCTAAGAATTCGAAGAGAAACTACAAAATTGAAGGATGGAATAGTACCAGTAAGCTGATTGTTACTTGCATCAAACACCTCTAAGCCATCAAAGTATGGCATTCCATCATGAGGAAAGAGCTCTCCAGCCAGGTTATTATAACTAATGTTCAAGTATCGAATCGACGAGACGAAGCTCGAATTTCCTACTTGCAGGTCTAGTGATCCAATAAACTTGTTGCTACTGAGATCGACATACTCTACATCGCCCAATGAGGCCAACAACAGCATAATATCACTTGAGAAGGCATTAGAGTGCAAATCCAGATACTTCAATTTCTCAAGACTAGCAAAACCAGACGGAACCATCCCGTCGAGGCTGTTTATAGAAAGATTAAGAGACACCAAGTTCTTCAAACTAGTCAGCTCAGAGGGTATAGAGCCACTAAACAGGTTCTTGGAAAGATCCAAGTATTCCAATGAAACAATCAAACCAACTTCCTTAGTAATTTTCCCACTCAACTGGTTATTTGCAACTGACAAATTCTGCAGCAATTTTAGGCCAGCAATAGCTGCAAAATCCAAAGCTCCAACTAAACCAACATCATTTAGTTCAATTGAAGTGACATGACCATCATTGCAACTGATACCATACCAATTTTGGGGGCACCCATTTGGTCCTAATGACTTAGAATCCCATGAAGAAAGGACTTTCCCTAAAGGGTCTTTTAGAACTCCCTTCTTAAGCTCCAAAAGAACATCCAAATCTAAGCTTCCTTTAACTGACTCAACTAAAAATAGCAGCACCAAACAAATGGCAGACTGCATTCCTCAAAAACCAGTGGGAGAGTGGGAGAGAGTTATATACAATACTGAACTAAGAAGAGAAAAACAGCATTTTGACAAGCTAATTAAGAAGCCAGAATGGGACAAGAAAGTAGACAAGAAACAGGAAGTAGGAAAAACTGAGGAAAGCTGAGATGCTATGATTGCCCAATCATTTCAAGAATTCCAAAAAATCAATTAGCAAATCCTTAATACAACAGCAATTATTATCACTAATCATTATGCAAGTGAAGTAAGATAGTATAATCCTAGGTAAACACTAACCACAAGAATCATTGAAGTCCAATAAAGAGAGTAGATCAGTTGAACAGTGTGGTGAACTTCCAAGAAACTATAATATTCAATAGGTTTAACACAAAAATGTCCAAATGCAAGTTGCCACATTAAATTCACTCACCAATAAGGCAATAACCAAAACATCAAAATCAAAGTAGGAGACCCTACATTTCACTATATCAAAAGCAAGTCAAAAGGGGTTTTATTTAGTCAAATGAACTCTGTCAAAACAATGAGTTGATAACTAATTTGGCCATACTAATGAGTTGTAGCTAAGAAAGAATAAGTAGTAATGCACAAAATACCTCCTATTTAGATACAATTTTGAGTCTTTTGACCAAAACTTTTAAGAATGATACTACAGAGTGGTGCAGTAATGGAATGTCCTGTGAACAGGAAAGATGAAAAGGACACAACTTTAAAAGAAAAAACCAAACTTTAATGTAGCAAAAGATATGTGCTTTGAGAGCAAAAAAAATAGATCAGAGCAAAAGGGGTTAGGTGAATGAAAAAGATACAACAAACAAAGAAACTATTTCTTTTTGTTCCAAATCTAATCTTCACATTTTGTATAAAGAATTGGTGGGTTGGGAAGAGAGTGTTTAGGGAAGTGTAACAGTGGAAATAAAGATGAGCTGTAGAAGTTTTTGACTTCATTCTTTTTTACAATATCAAGACAAGAAGAGAGAGTTGGGAAAAACAGAAGTAGTATATTAAAAAAAAAAAAAAAAAAATTGTGGTCCCAAAGCAAGAAGTGCAGAGGCCATGGGAGGGTGGATGGGGTCAGTGGTCAGTTACTGCAAAAGTTGCAAAAAAGTCCATTTAAGTATTGTGGAAGATGACAAGTTTTGATCCAATGGGGTTACTACTCCCCACCTTGATTCCCTAAGAATGTCAATTTTTCTTACACTATTTGTTTCACTTTCATTTTCCCTACTCTCGGTCTGGTATAGAGATGGAAAAAACAAGGGGCCAGAGTTTTATGACTATATGTTATTTACTTATGTTTTGGAAGTTACTGTGTGGTTTTTCCTGAGGAAATATTTTACTTGTGTGTAATTCTTTTCTTACCATTTTTGAGAAACTATCGGCTTTTTTCGGTTTCTCATTTGGTGGGCGTTTGACATAAAGAATTGTGAAATTCTAGAAAAAAGTTTTTAAAAAACAAAAAAATCAAATTGTGTTTGGACGTGAATACATTTTAGAGTTATTTTTTAATTTTGTATTTGGACGTGAATACAATTTAGAGCTGTTTTCGAATTTTTGACAGTGCATTGAAGTAAAAATTTTGAAAATAACTTTTTGAATTTTTCAATTTCGAAAAGTTCCAAAATTCAGTTTCAAGTGAAATTTGAAATTTTTATGGTCAAACATTGATTCCAAAAAAAATAGAAAAAAAAAAAAGAAATCTCTTTTTATGGCCAAACAGGCCCTTAGTGTTTGTGTGTCTTATGTTTTATGAAGGTTCCCCACTAATTCTGGGGAGAAATTCAAAAATAGCCAGATTTACCACTGGTCGTTGAAAAATAGCCAAGTTTCAAAAGTCATCGAAATTTGGCACTTTAAATCTGAGCGAAAACACTGTTCAAAATCCGGAAAAATACGCCCGCAAATTTTACGGGAGTTCCAGCATAAGTATGCTTGAACTCTCGTAAATTTTACGGGAGTTCCAGGATAACTATGCTGGAACTCCCGCAAATTTTACGGGAGTTCAAGCATAATTATGTTGGAACTCCCGCAAATTTTACGGGAGTTCCAGCAAGTATAATTGTCCAGTATAATATACTGGAGTTTGGAGCACTGGTGCTCCAGTCTCCCGCAAATTTTACAGGAGTTAGCAAAGTATACCGGTCCAGCATAATATGCTGGAGTTCGTACACAAATGCACCAGAACTCCCGTATATTACACTGGACCGGTCCCTGTTGCAGCAAAATAGTGGCAATTTTTCATTGATTTGATAAACGTTGGCTATTTTTCATTGACCAGTGTAAAAACTGGCTATACCATAATATTTTAACCTAATTCTGCGTAAGGCTCATTAAAAGAAAAAATGTTCTTTATGAAAAAAAACTATGCTCAAATTATAAACTCTGGTTAAAGGTAAAATTATCATATCCCTCCCACTACAACTTTGAGTGGCTGAGGCAATCGGTTGAAGTGGCATAGCTATGTTTATTAGAGGGGATAAATTAGTAATCCACTTTCCAGGAAAATTATTGGTTCATATTTACATTTTTTTTTAATTTTTTATTAAGTTCTCCAGTTTTCACTGAGCTGAAATCAATATTTTAATTCTCTAGAAATGTGTCATGTGACTTGATGCGTGTGTCCTTAAGATTATATTTATGTGGCTGAGTTGATTGTGTTACCAACTATTTGCGCAAAGGAGTATAAAACTGCAAATTTGCAGTTATAAATATTTATATGTGAAGACATTATCTCACACCTGACAAAGGGCCAAATATATTCCTGTACTTTCAAAAATGATTTCAGAATACCCTTTGTTATATTATTGGGTTATATATGACTCTGCTGTCAGAGGCGGAGCCAGGATTTCAAGCTAATGAGTTCGGGATTCTAATCATTAAAAGTTACTGGGTTCTAAATTAATAATTTATATATATCTAATAAATTTTTTAAGATAAATACAGGGTTAAAATCAAAGTTACTTTCGCCGAACCCGCTGCCAGCCTCCGCCCCTGTCTGCCGTCATACTTTAAAATAAAAATACCCTTATTTTTAATGGAGTGCCACGTGGCAGCACCAGATTAAATGACCCATTTCTTTTTTTTACCCGATTCATTTAAAAGAAGAGAAATTTTCATAAAGCACTATCTTTTAGTGGTAATTAGCTATCTATAGATACCATTTGCTATATTACAACCTGTAGATACGTTTTTAGATGTTTTAAGATGTATTTGATGTATTTAGATTACTATATTCTTGAATACATTTAAAAAAAGAGGCGTGAATCATGAAAATCCAGTTAATAAAATGTTGTATTCAACTGTATTCAAGAGTTGAATCATTGAATACGGTAACGTATATTCTTTAAAAAAGGGACCTTTCAACTGATTAAAAACGGAAAGAAAATCAATCTAGCAAATAGTTTCCTAATATAACTCAATTAACACAATTATATCACCCATAATCTGTATTTCCCCCTCCATCAAAGATTTTCCATCCAAAGTATCCAAAAACAGAGCACTCTGTCGATTTTCAATTCTCCCTTCTTTCTTTTCATGTTCTTTTGTTACAGTTCGTAGAAATCAATTTTCAACAAAGAAAAATTGAGATTGATACAATTGTATACAGAAATACGTTCAAATTCGATTTTGCATATGGCAAGTTTAACAGTGTTATTGCGTCATTCTGAAAAGTGGAACAGTGAGAGTAACTACGTCGATTATTCAATTGAGGGAATACCAATAAAGGAGTATGCGTCGTATAATGATGTGGTCGCGTCAATTTCTAAGCAACTGGAGATAGATTTGAGCTCAAAGACCATTAAAATTCCTTACAAAGTAGAAGGAAATTGCACGCCAATGGAAATACACAATGATATGGGTTTTAGGGTGTATGTAGAGTTGAAAAAAGAGAACAGAGAATTCGGGATGTATCTTGTTAGAGACTGTGCGTCCACCAGAATGTATAGAGAACCGGGTTTTCTATGTGTTTCCTCTTAAAGTACTGATGAACCAAACTGTATAGGTATCTGGTCCTATATCAGTTTGATATAGTACTAAGTTTGTGTGAGTCCACCAAATAGCAGAGTACCTGGTCCTTTATCGGGTTCTGTTATGAATGCTAGTAAAGCTAAATGTAAATAAGGCCGTGGATTTTTATGTGGAAAAATCCTACAACAGGGGATCAAAAAACCACAACCTACACCTGTAGGCTTTTAACTTCACTAACTTTCAATCTCCCTATTACAAGCCACTTTACAATAACTCTATTGCAAAGACTTCAACTAACTTGTGGCTCTCATCACAAGCCACTCTATAACTATCCTAGTTACAAAGAATTTGACTAACTTGTGATATTTCCACCACAAGCCACTTTGTCACACTACCGTTATAAAGGCTTTGACTAACTTGTGATGTTTCCACCACAAGCCACTTTGTTACCCTACGGTTACAAATGATTTTTCTTATGACTCAACCTAATCAATGCTTCTAAGAAAGCTGGATAGGAGTTACAATGAAGAACAAATTACAAAGACTCTACAAACCTAAGGACTTAAAATATCTTCGATCTTGGATCAGGTCCTTGAGGTTGCAGCAGCTTTGTTCTTGAGAGAGGTTCTTGAACACTTGAGAGAATATTTTACTTTTCTGAGTTTGCAAGCGTTGAACCAGAATCTTATGCCTTGCATGAGGTTTATACTACACAAGACATTACCTTAGTGATGTCAATTCACAATGGTGATGTCCAATCTCAATGGGAAGTGACTGCTGCACTATCTGTAGAACTGTTACATGTACAGTTGCAGGCAGTCACTTTCTGCGGTTGCTTTCCATTTGTACTATTGACTTATACTTCTGTCAGGGGAACACTAAGATATCAGGTTCCTAATCTGGTTCATGTGAACCTAAAGCACACTGCCCAGATTATCTTGAGTCGATTAACCTGAATGATTGTACCAGGCTAGCTTCAGGTCCTTTATCTGGTTCTCTCATGAAGTATGATGGTATTTATACTTGTGTGACATCACTTACAATGATGTAAGCAAGGTAGGTAAAAAGCCTTCCAAGAAAGTTGACTGCTGCACTGTTCCTGTGCAGTAGCGTGTGCAGGTAGTAACTTTCATGCTGGAGAGTTGACTTCATACAGTCTCCTCGGGAACTGGTAGGGACCTGTTTCCTCAACTGTTCCTTCCACTCTAAAGAGTTGAGTTATATCCTACGCTGGATCCCAATCTGGAGTTTTGTGATCTCAAGGTCTTGTAGATGTATAACAGGTTCCGTATCTGGTTCTGGATGGTAAGTTTGTTAGATCATCAAAACATAAAGTAAAGTACCTATGCCCAAGGTACTTGTAACCTATCAATTTTCCCCTTTTTGATGACAACAAACTTAGAATTGATATTCCCCCTGAGAACTAGATCTCCACATTGTTCCCCCTACGAATCAGCCATATTCCTCATGAGAACCGAACCTAAGGAACTGATCACAACTGGTTCCTCAAGACTGTTTGGCAAATCATCAAAACTCACATACCATATCTTATTAATTCCCCCCTTTTTGATGAATGACAAACCCAGAATTATTCCCCCTGAGAATCAGGTTCCTTATCTGCACTGATCACATCCGGTCCGTACCTAGTATGTTGAGAACGTTTGTCATCATCAAAACATGACATAGAGTAACCTAGATCAATTTCCCCCTTTTTGATGATGACAAACCTAAAATTATTATTCCTCTTGAGAACCAGATTCCTCACATGTTTCCCCGCAGATCAGACTTATAATCAACTTGTTTTCAGCACGTTCCCCCTGCGAAGTAGAGCCATCAGCAACATGTTCCCCCTGCGAAGCAAAGCCATCTTTAATGCACAACACACATATCAATTCGATTCTGTTCCTCCCCCATGTGGACACCTATATTACTTCCCCCTTTAGGCATCATCAAAAAGAATAACAGAAGAAGTACCACCAGAAAGAAGTTCAGCAACATTAACTCAGGCCACTTGGGCAACACAGCATAAACAATAACAAGAACAACAAGTGAATGTCAGTGCCCAAAATAGAGTGATTGCCCATAGTGGAGTAATTATGATAAAAGCACAGTAGCTTCAACAATACATAATATGACAATTTAAACAACTGAATTACTAACGTCATCAAATATAAGGATCAAAAGAAGGTAAGAATTCAAGGGAATTGGGAAGGAGTGAAGGACATGGATCACTGGGAGGAAGAAAAGTAAGAGGCAAAGGCT